AGAGAGGGCCGTCGGAGACCAGGACAGAGTCAGAGACCAGGACAGAGCCTGCAAGGCAGAGAGGACCGTCGGAGACCAGGACAGAGCCTGCAGGGCAGAGAGGACCGTCGGAGACCAGGACAGAGCCTGCAGGGGAGAGAGGGCCGTCGGAGACCAGGACAGAGCCTGTAGGGGAGAGAGGGCCATCAGAGACCAGGACAGAGCCTGTAGGGGAGAGAGGGCCGTCGGAGACCAGGACAGAGCCTGTAGGGGAGAGAGGGCCGTCGGAGACCAGGTGCACGTCCCCCACCCCATGGGTCAGTCCCCTGAGCCTGAGGGGCCCTGGCCAGGCCTTGTGGGGACTCCGGCCCATGTCTCAGCCAAACCCAAGCTGGCCTCTCCTCAGAGGCCATGAGGGTGCCCGCCGCACCAAAGCCCCGAGAGCGTGACAGACGGTGACCCCCGAGTGTTATGAACAGTTCAAGTGGAAGCCGGCCTGGCTGCCTTGTGCCCCCAGCAGAAGCGGCCCGGCCGGGCCCAGGTTCCCGTTCAGAAGAGTATTCTCCTGCTTGGATTCTGCCTTTCAGGTGAAGGAGAGGTTTTGTCTTAGACTCCCGACAGCCCCACTTCAGTGTGCTGGGGGAGGCACAAGGGCCGTGGTGTGGGTGGGACCAGCCACGGGGCAGGCCTGTGGGGACACAGCGTGGCTCCCCCACATGCACACAGACGCAGTGATACTGCCAGCCGCCCCGGAGGAGGGCTGTGACTCAGGCCCCTCGCGGAAGCAGGAGGAAGGAAGCACGGGCGGACTCGGCCCCCCTGCAGGCTGAGCCGGCCCCGCACCACAGCCGCTCACAGGAAGGAGCGGCTTGCTTTGGAAACAGGAGCTGCTGAGCCGGGACCCGTGCCATGGGCAGAAGCCACGTGTCTGCAGATGCCGCTCCCAGGGCCCCGAGGTGCCACTCGAGACTTCTGTGCCTTCAAGGTGGCACGCCGCCATGTCCGTAGGGAAGTGGGGACAGTGGAGGGTTTTGCTCTGGACGCTGAGTCTGCCACCGAGATGGCCGAATGCCAGAGTCCACAGCCGTCACGATGCACCGTCACCCTGACCACAGAGCACCACGCCTTGCCATGGCACTTGAACCAGGTGCAGGTATCTCTCTGAGACTGTCAGATGGGGCCTGGGGGTCACGGGCCAAAGCACCCCCTTTGAAGATCCGGTGTGGACCCCGTGAAGCTGCAGCTGACACTCAGCCTGTCCCACCTGAAGCGCTGTCCTCAAGCCGCGTTGAGCCAGTCCTGGACGACAGCCACGGGCCCAGGGCCCCGGAGCAGGGGGAGGGCCCTGGCTTTAGAAGTGAGGAGCTTGGCCAGGTTCTCCCCGACAGGACAGGGCCCCACCGCTCCATGGAGCTTCCACTGGGCTCTGGCTGGAGCCCAGAATCTGAGCTCAGAGACCCAGGGCACGTCCTGGCGTGGAGCTAAGGATCCTGTGTGGGTGCTGTCCCAGGCTTAGGGCAGGTGCTGCAACCCTGGAACGTCTATGAGCCTGTGACGGGGCAGTCACAGGGCAGGGGTCACTTTCCCACAGTGCAGGCAGCTTGGGGACAGCCCTCCACCCACACACGCTGGCGCTCTGACCTTCTCCCCTGGCGTCTGGGGGAGCATGGCGCCCCCTCAGGCTGTGGCAGCCGTAGCCACGAGAGGACCAGGGGACACAAGGCTGCAAGGAGGGGACACGGGAGCTCCCAGATCAGTGTCCGGCCTCCACACGCCCGTCCCAGCAGCTCCTCCAGGGACCCAGGGGGCACAGGGCGCCACCTCCTGCGGGCTTGGCCTCATCCTGCCATCTATGCACACAGCCCACACGTGGGTGGCTGGACCAGCCAAGGACTGCAGTCGCTGGCTTGTGCCCCAGAAGGGTCTCAGGAAGAAGAAGCCTCCGTTTTGGGTCCCTGTGCTCCTGAGCCTGACCAGGAGGGAAAACGGAGAGGAGGGAAAAGGCCTACAGGAGCCTGCTCGCGATGCCATCTCCGACGGACGGACCGTGGGGCCACACCCGGCACCGCGCTCCACACAGCAGCTGCCCTTGGGCCCAGGCTGTCGGCTTACCCCACCTGCCCACCTTGCTGCCTTCCGGTGGGGAGCTGGCTGTTGTAGGGCCTGGGTCCCAGCAGGAGTGGGAATGCACGTCCCTTCTCACCCGACGGGTCCAGGCAGAACGGGGCAGAGAACAACTTTGGCAGCATGAAGGAGGTTGAAAACAGCCAGGAAAGAAGCACTGCCACGTGTGGACCCAGCGGGTCAGGCTTGTCGCCCTCATGTCACTCCTGGGGGCCCCAGCTTGCGAGCAGAGGCAGCCGGGACCAGGTAAGCGAGCATGGTCCGTCCCAGGAGTGTCTGTGGAGCAGGCAGCAAGGGAGAAGCTGTCTCCTCGATGCTGGGCAGGACTGGGGTCCTCCCAGTGGGTAGTTACACTCTCCCACCAGTGCCAGACCCTCCAAGCCCCTCGGGACTGTCTCCAGGAGCTCCGGCCCCGCGCCTGCCCCAGCACAGGGACACGCGCGGCTCGGCGTGCACAGGTGGCCGCGGCATCGCCTCTCCCACAGCAGGATATCCTGGCGCCCAGCAGTCTCTGCCGGCTGTTTAGAACAGTCCAGGCACCGGAAAGAACCTCGCTCTAAAATTAGCCCCAGAAGAAAGGCACCGCTCCGCTCAGGCACTGTTTGTCAGTGGAGCGCGTCTAAACAGGGCCGCGTGTTTCCTCACCGGGAAAACAGGCTGCAGGGTGACTGCAGGGTGGCTGCAGGGGTGGCAGAGACAGCCCACCTGCCCAGCACTGTCTGAACAGAGTCAGGTCCAACTTTTCGGGGGCTGTCCAGCCTCCCAGTCTGGACTGCGGCCTCACAGGACACCCAGGCTTCAGTCAACAGGGCCGTTCCCAGTTCCTCGCAGGTGTGCACATCGTCACACATGGTACCGTCTTGCTCTAAAACAGCAGCTGGCAAGAAAGAGGATCCACCTCGACGTCCCCAAGCCTGCGGCCTCCTCGTCGTCCCAGGTGAGGCTCTGGAGGAGGCCTCGGGCCAAGCAGCGGCCCACGTGGGTCTGCAGGAAGCCTCGAGCCGGGCCGTGTCTACCGAGGTCCAGCTGCCTTGGTTTCCCTTCTGCCGCTGAGCGGCTCTCCTCCCTCCCGATGCTACTCCACGGACTGGAACCCATCAGCCCCTACTAGGTGGCAGTGTTGGCAGGACCCAGGGAAGCAGGCCCTCAGGCTCTTGTCCCTAAGCCCGCTGACATCTGTGACACGTGTGTCTTCACCCGCAGTCACATGGAGGGCAGAGGCAGTTGGAGACAGTGAGTTCTGACCACTCCACCACCCCCAGGCACAAAGCATCGACCCACGCCAGCCACTTCCCACCCCCACACCCCACGCCACAACAAAGATGCTGTCCTCAGGCGGCCCCTGCATCACTGGCCCTGCCACCATGTCGCCCGCGTGCTGCCAGAATTTAAAACCCAGAATGCAAAGCCGGGTGAGGGCTCTCACCCCCATGGTGTGCGAGCCATGCGCGGCCGTCACGGTGGGATCCAGCAGCCCCTCCCCAGGCTGCTGTCCGGGCCCCGGTTCCCCACCCACAGGTACTCACTTGCCAGCTGGAACGCCGCGGCCATGGCTTCCTCCCAGCAGGGGGACTCAGGTGATGGCAGTGGCAGGCCTGCCAGCCCCAGCACGAACGTGAGCTGACCCACCGCAAGTGCCGCTGTGGCCACCAGGTTGCAGACACGCATCATGTCAAACTGCACTGTGGGGGGTAGGGGGGAGGTCAGCAGGTTCGCAGCCCGCCCCAGGGTGCCTCTGTAAGATCAGAACCCTCAACCGCGAGGAAGCACCCTACAGAGCTTCCCGGAAGTGTCCCCCCGCACACATGACCCCTAGTGCGTGGAGGCCGGCCATGCCCACCCCCACCGGGTCAGGCCTTCCACATGCCTTTCATCAGCTCAGGAAAGCGCGTCCCTGGTTGGACACGCTGCACTTTCTGGGCCTGAGTTGCACCCCTGCCCATGAAGGCGAGCTCAGGGGAGCATAGGCCCACTGAGCTGGGGTCCCCATTCCCTAGGATCTTCCTTCTGCCCTGCATCTCGTCCAGCTCCTGGGATCCCGGTGCACGCAAGCATCACGTGAGGGCCGTGCCCTTGGGGACAGGCATCCTTACAGGCAGCACGGGTGACTTGTCCAGGGTCTCTCACGGCCACTAGGGGCCCAGCCAGACCCACGCCCCTAGCACCAAAGCCTCTTCCCCTCAGCCCTGCGGAGAGGACACGGCGTGTGGCCAGACACCGACAGTGCACGCCTGTAGCTACAGTTCACTCTGAAGCCGCGGGTCAGTTGAGCAGAGTGCTGAGGACTCGGGGCGCTGAGGGAGAGCCTGGGGCCCTCGGCTCTGGGCCCTGTGCTGTGTGTGCAGCGCCCACGGGGTGTGTCTGCTCTCCCCGGGCACCCTCTCCCCAGTGGCCCCCAGGCCGTGTCTGGACAGTCTAGGGGTCTGGCTCCCATGACGGACAGTGTGTGGACTCAGGACAGAATCCTGGGACTGTTTGCTCTGCAGCACATACGTGCTTCCCCAAGATGCTGAAAATAGGTTCCAGGTGCCAGAGAAGACGTGTGGCCTCCGTGTGCGTGCACGTGTCACCCAAAGTCCACACCAAAGCCTCAGAGTGTGGACTTCTGGACTTGGTCCGACCTGGGGTGGGCGTGGATACCTGAGGAGATGAGGCGGGGTCAAGCCCTCCAGGAACCTGGCCTGCATGCCAAGCCGGTCACAGTCCCGGGACACCAGAGGCTGAGCCATGCAGCCTGGTGGCTAGAACCTTCTGCCCCCTCGGGAAGCATTACGCTCTGGCTGGCTTTGTCCATGTCACGCTACCATGGCTCCTTGGGAACCATCCTGTCAGTGGCAGTGTTGCCGTTCAGCCCGTTTCATGAGAAGTCCCTGTGGACCTTGCTGTTTTCAGCACACTCCCTGCTCAGAACCCACGGGGCTGCTTCCAGGCCGCCCAGGGAGCTCGTGTGGTGGGGAGGAGACACGCAGGACAGGTGGGGGGATGGGGCAGGCAGGTGAGTCCTCTGAGGGACTCTGAGCACGCAGGTGAGTGGGTACAGTGGGCCTTCGGAGGCGGGAAGTTGGGCCTGGGAGGGCTCTAGGCCCTTGATGTGGTCACAGGGAGCCATGTCAGTGGACGCCTTGGGGACACCTTGAGAACAGATGGGAGGAAGGGACGGGGCTTTGCGGTGGGGGTTGGGTGACAGGACATCACTTGTGGGAGCCCGTGGAGCTCTAAGCTGGAGCAGGTCTGGTGGTGTCTGGGAATGATGTGTGGGGAAGAGTGGGCCTCCTTGGCCTGTGGTGACAAGTCCTCAGTACATGGATTGCAGGATTTGGGGAAGGGGGACCAAGACGCCCCAAAGGCATGTCCCCTGCCTCCCAGGCACTGGCCTGGCAGTGCGGCGCAAAGTGGCACTGGATTGTACTGGGAGGGCCAGGGTTAGCGGCGGGTGGACAGACGTGGGGTGCGGTCCAGGTGGGCGCCTTCCCCTGGGGGCCTCTGGTATGAGTCTCATCCCAGCCGTCGCCCGGCGCACGCTGCCCCGCCCCTCCGGCTGGCCCCGCCCAGGAGCCCCTCGGAGGCCCCTCTGCGCGGTGGCGCACGCAGGCTCGGACCCTCCCTCTGGCTCCGCCCGTGAGCCCTGCAGAGGCCTCTCGCAGCCACGCAGGCTCCATCCTTCTCCCTTCTTGCTGGCTCCGCCGCGGAGCCTCCGCAGAGGCCCGTTAGGGCGCGCGGGCTCCATCCCTCCGCCTGTCTGCCCTGGAGCCCCGCAGAGGCCCCTCGCAGCGCACGCTGACTCGGTCCCGCCCTCGGTCTGCCCGGGAGCCCTGCAGAGGGCCCTCGCGGCGCACGCTGGTGGCGCCCAGGAGACTTGGAGGCGTTGCACGTGCTTCAGTCTCAAACGGAGCTCTTGCAAGCAGGACAGGCAAGGCCAGGGGGCCTGCAGCCGGGCGGTGCGTGAAGCCCAGGCCGCCATGGGCACTAGGTGCTTGTAACCTCTGCGTGCTCTCCTCGTGAGCTGTGACGTGGGCACGATGGTCCCTGCACACGAGTCCGTGGCGCACACGGCGGGCATGGGGACAGGGCTCTGGTCCATACAGGCACACGCACAGCCCACGCTGTGATGTGCAGCCATCCGGAGGCATCCGCGGCGCTCCCTGCCAGGCCCGGCACGTTCTTCAGTGCACATTTTAGGACGTTTGGGCCGATGCATTTGCTGGCGTTGAAGCGGAGAGTACCTGGGCCCTTCCTCACGGGGCTTGCGTCTTGGCAGACGCGCTTGCGTTAATTTGGGTGCCCGTAACGAGTCTCTCCTGATGGCTAACACGCCTCAGCTTCCAGAGTGGCAAGGGACCATGCTGGGATCCCCGCGTCCACCCGTGGGAGCTGGAAGTCCCTACCTGCCTTCATCATCCCCGCCACACGCTTCAGCCCCTCCCCCTTACGTCCAAAGCAGTCCTCAGAGACCGGAAGGGGCGTGCAGACAGCCCCAGACAGTAACCTTCTTGGCTTTAGTCCCCAAATACTCATGCTAATGACAAGCGTGTGTCCTGTCAGAGGATCCCCGGGAGAATCCCCCACTTTCCAAGCAGACTGCTGGGGGGAGAGGTGGGGAAGGCAGCGGCTGCCCTTGGGGACCCCAGGGCTGGCACTCAACCTCTGCCCCCGACCAGACCTGCCCACAGAGTCTCACGGGCCCTCTGCCCCCGACCAGGCCCACTCACTGCATCTTGTACCCCCAAGGCCCCAGGCCTCCTTTGGACTTACGTTTGACTGTGGCTCGCGCCTCCTGGAAGCCGGCTGCTTCGGAGCCCCAGCCCAGGGCCTCACAGTCGGGCTCCTCAGGCTGCCCCGGCCTGGCAGCAGGGCCCGCCCCCCCGCGCACCCTGTCAGGCAGCCAGCAGGCCCTCCAGAGCCCCACGCTGCGCCGACGCCCGTCCTCCAGCGTCTGGTGCACCCAGTGGGGGGTGAAGGCCGCCACGTTGTTGAGCACCAGAGAGACGAGGGCCACCAGCACGGCCGAGGCCACCAGCTTCTGGACGGTCATGGCCGGCGCCGCGCTGTCCGCTGTGCAGGAAACCCAGAGGCGGGGACCGAGGGGACCGAGGGGACCGAGCGAGTGCTGGGCGGCTAGAGGACGTCTCCGCTCATTCTTGGGGCTCAGCAGGGCCGCGGGGTCCCCACGTGTCGACGCTGCTCACCCAGCTTCCTGCGCCTGGAGCAGAGCCAGGCCGGTGGGGGGCGCCCTAGCCACAAGGCCCATCCCGAGGATGGAGAGACAGCGAGGGCCCAGGGTCGCGCACGGGACTCGGCGACCAGAGCGGGCGGTGGCTCCTCGTGCCTGTTGCAGACGGCAGGAAACAAAGTAACTCAGGAGCTGGCCGCAGGGGTGTCTTGTCCTGGCTCCACTCCCTGGACCAGCCTGCTTGTAGGCCCCCTTAGGAGAGCTGCCAGGATGGGGCAGGGTGAGACGCTGGTGGTCTGTGCCCGCGTCCTATCCCGGAGCTGCCGCCGCTGTGAGGTGCGGTCCCAGAGGCAGCGGGGCTGCCGCGAGGCAGGGTGTGTGTCTGTGCGTGTGCGCGCGCGCGTGCTCCCAGGCGCTTCCCGGCCTCTCAGCAGAGAGGAAATGAATGTTTTTGAGGCTGTTTTTGGTGAGTCAAGGGCGTAGCCAACTGCAGCAAACCCTGCTGGCCAGACACCGACAGGACGCGCTTCCTGGGAGGAAGCGCCGGCGCCCCCGAGGCTGCCCCTCCCACCCCGCAGGCTGCAGGGGCCTCGAGCCACGCTGCCTCCTGGGTCCCTCGCAGTCACCCAGCGGCCACCAGAAGACACAGGCACCCCCTGCACGCACCAGGCCTATCCTGGGGTCCAGTCACCCAGAGGGCCACACGCAGGGAAGGGGAGGGGCGGGGTCATGTCTGCTGTGGGAGGAGTGGGCTGCCCCCAGAGACCTCCACGAGGGTCTGGGTGTGTGGCCCTGCCTTGGCCCTCAGGTCTGCCCGTGCAGCGCACAGTGGGACCACGGCCCGAGGGCGTCTGCACGTCGATTCCTCAGGGTTTCACCCGATGACAGTGTTTGCATCAGCATTAGTGGTGGTGAAGCCCTCCCCAGTCGTGTGCCCAGCCCCCCTGCCCCCCTCCCCAGTCGCAGTCTGCTCAGTGCTCTGTCCGCTTTCATGCCCTCCGTGCCTCCTCTCCTGCCAGCACCTCTGTTGGGAGTCTGTGAGGAGGCCCGGCCGCAGCAGGCGCCTGTCAGACGACCCTGGATGCTGTCCTGCCAGTGGCCCTGACTGGGGAGGGGTCTCCATGGCACTGGTCCGAGGGGCCTGCGTGGCCAGCAGCTTTGCACAGCATGGATTCTTCCAGAAAGCCAAGCCCACCCCATCTGCAGCTCCTCAGATTGTATGACCCGTGGATGTGAGAAGTGCAGGGGCCTGCTGAGAACAGGAAGTTAGCTGAGCTGTCCATGTCTTGGGGTCTGTGTGGTCACACAGCCCCCGATACCACAGCAGAGGCAAGCGTCCCTAGCTCAGACGCCCCACGGGGGATGCCTCAGGGATGCCATGAGCCTGCAGGTGCTCCCACCCTTGTCTGGGGTCCCTGCATTGAGTCCAGGGCCACTCTGCCCGTCAGGGAGATGAACGGCACGGGGCACACACGGAGCCACACTGTGGACCGTGAGGACAGCTCTGGGGCTCCTTCCCAGGCCTTCTGCCTGTTAGGGTAGGAGCCGTGTGTCTTCAGATGTCGACAGCTGACGTTCCATCTGAGGTGCACTGCACCCCTCCTAGCCCAGCCTCGGGACACGCAGTGGGGTGGGGGGACCAGGCCGTCAGTTCTCTGACCCGTGTGAAGAAAGACTTGAAGGTGGAGACCGTGGTTTCTCGCCTGCAAAACAAGCAAGGCACCGGTGTTCCTGCCAGACTGGCCTGTGACCTCCAGACGCACTTGGACGGTGTTGGAGCTGTAGCCGTGGTGCTAAGCAGGGGGATGCTGCAGGGTGCCCGCCAGCCCCACGGGGATGGGTGCCCATCTGCATCCAAAAGACGGAGGTGGCACACTAGCCTCAGAAAGGGCAGCACGGGTGTGCTGAAGGGGGTTGGCGCTCTGGCTCGAACCAGCAGAGGGGCACGGTCACCCGAGAGCAGCCATCCCATGTGTCTCAGCATCATTGACCTGGGTGGGGTCCTCAGAGGACACTGAGCCCAACAGTGCTGGGGAGAAGAGTTTACCCACTTCCCGGGACCTTGGCACAAAGGTGGCAGTGTGTGTGACACACTCAGGTGCACTTGCACATGTACACACAGACATGTATGTGCACATATAAACATACAGTCACACAGGTACAGGTGTGCACGCACAGACACAGATACTCCCATGCACCCATGCAGTCACACACATGCACAAGTGTGCAAGGCACATGTATACATTTGTTGTTGTTGTTAAGTGCCGTCGAGTCGTTTCCGACTCATAGCGACCCCATGCACAGCAGAACGAAACACTGCCCGATCCCGCACCAGCCCCACAATCCCTGCTATACTCGAGCCCATCATCGCAGCCACTGTATCAATCCATCTTGTTGAAGGCCTCCCCCTCTTTCGTCGACCCTCCACCCTACCAAGCATGACATCCTTCTCCAGGGAATGGTCCCTTCTTACAACATGACCAAAATAGGTGAGACGAAGTCTGGCCATTCTTGCTTCCAAGGAGCATTCTGGCTGCACTTCCTCCAGGACAGATCTGTTAGTTCTTTTAGCAGTCCATGGTACTTTCAGCATTCTTCGCCAGCACCACAACTCAACAGCATCAACTCTTCTTTGGTCTTCCCTATTCATTGTCCAGCTCTCACATGCATACAAGGTGATTGGAAATATGGCTTGTGTCAGGCGCACCTTCGTCCTCAAGGAGATATCCTTGCTCCTCAGCACTTGAAACAGTTCCTTCGCAGTTGACTTTCCCAATGCTACACGTCGTCTGATGTCCTGACTGCTGCTTCTGTTGGCATCGATTGTAGAACCAAGCAATGTGAATTCCTTGACAACCTCAATCTTCTCTCCATTGATTGTGATGCTGCTCATTGGTCCAGTTGTGAGGATTTTTGTTTTCTTTATGTTGAGATGTAATCCATACTGCAGACTGTATTCTTCAACCTTCATCAGTAGGTGCCTTAAGTCATCCTCACTTTCAGCAAGCAAAGTTGTATCGTCTGCATATCTCAGGTTGTTAATGATTCTTCCTCCAATCCTGATACCACGTTTTTCTTCATTATTCATTATTCATTATTCATTATTGACTATGCAAAGGCATTTGATTGTGTGGATCATGACAAATTATGGATAACATTGAGAAGAATGGGAATCCCTGAGCACTTGATTGTACTCATGAGGAATCTGTACCTTGACCAGGAGGCTGTCGTTCGAACAGAACAAGGGGACACTACATGGTTTAAAATCAAGAAGGGAGTGCGTCAGGGTTGTATTCTTTCTCCACATGTATACATAGGCATGCACATTTGTAGTTGCACAGGTGAGCATAGGTGCACATACGTGGATGCCACACATACATGGATGCACACACGTGCACAGGCACATGCAGACACACATGCATGTACATACATCCACACAGGTACATGAGGCATACATACACACAGGCACACATCTACATGCATATATACACACATGCACAGGCACACATACAGGTACATGTATGCACACATGCACAGGTACATGCAGGCACACTCGCATAGGCATACACATACGTGCACACATAGGCACAGGTACACACAGGCACAGGTACACAGGCACACATGCATAGGTGTGCAGACAGAGGTACACATATGCACACTAGTACACACGCAGTCACACACATGTCATGACCCCATCAGCAGCCCAGCCTGTGCTGTAGGGGCCGCCTGCACTGCATGCCCTCGGACAAACTACCACGTGTGCCCGGTCACACTCCCACAGGCAGCAGCTGGTGGGGGTGGCTGCACTGATACCCAGGTGTCCCCCCACCTCTGCATGTAGCACACCCCTCAGCAAAGAGAATACAGGTCCTTCTGGCACATGTGTGCACAGAGGCACACGTGATGTCCATCCAGGACACCTGGCTTCCAACTCCACCATGCCAAGGGCCCAGGCAGGGCACCACTGTTACCCACAGGGGACAGGCCCACAATGGTACTCATTCCCAAGACCCCCACCCAGTGTGCACCCTGCCTCTCCACTCACCAGATGCAGAAGAGGGCGTTCCCATGGTGACCAGGTGGGAGGAAGGCTTCCTCTCCCCCCTCTAGCTCTGAGCTGCAGCAGCTGTGGAATGCAGGGGGAGGGACCTCAGGTCAGCAGGTCGCCCACAGACGTGCTCTGCCTGCCTTGCCCTGCTCGGGGCTGCTCTGAGTTACACCCCTTGCCGAGTCAGGCTTCCTCAGGGTGTGCAGGGTGTGTGGGCGTGTGTATGTGGTGTCCTTGTTTGTGAGGGTGTGACCCTGTGTGAACATGTGTCCCTGTGTATACATGTGCCTGTGTGTGTGAGGTGGTGTCCCTATGTACGCGTGTGTTCTTGTAAGCGTCAGCGTGTATCTGTACATGACGGTGTGTTCCTGTTTGTGCCTGTGTGTCCGTGTGTCTTCGTGTGTGTGCCTGTATGTCTGTGTGTGCCTGTGTGCCTATGTGTGCATCTATGTATCTCTCTTTGTGTGCCTGCATGTCCCTGTGTGCTTCTGTGTATGTGTCTCTGTGTGCGTCTGTGTGTCCCTGTGTGTGCCTGTATATCTGTGTTTCCCTGTGTGTGCCTGTGTGCCCCCATGTCTGTGTCTGTCTGTCTGTCTCTGTGTCTCTGTGTGTCCGTGTCTCTGTGTGTGACTGTGTTTCTCTGTGTGTCCCTGAGTGTGTCTATGTGTGCCTCTTGTATGTCTGTGTGTGTCTGTATGCCTCTGTATGGGCCTGTGTCTGTGTGCATCCCTGTGTCTCTGTATGTCCATGTGTTGCCTGTGTGTGCATCTGTGTGCCTCTGTGTGTGCCTGTGTGTGCATCTATGTGTCTCTGTGTTTCCCTGTGTGTGCCTGTGTGCCCCCATGTCTGTGTGTGTGTGTCTGTCTCTTTGTCTCTGTGTGTGACTGTGTGTCTCTGTGTGTCCCTGTGTGTGCCTGTGTGTCTCTGTGTCTGTGTGTGTCCATCTGTGTGTGTCTGTGTGTCTGTTTGCCTGTGTCCCCCGTGTGTGCCTCTGTGTCTCTGGATGTGCCTCTGTGTCCCTGTGTCTGTGCCCATGTGTGTGTCTGCATGTTTCTTTGTCTCCCTGTGTGTGCATGTCTTTGTCCTTGTGTGTCTCTGTGTGTCCTTATATGTCTGCATGGCTGTGTGTGCCAGTGTGTGTCTTTGTCCCTGTGTGTGCATATCTGTGTGTCAGTGTGTGTCTGTGTCCTGTGTGTCTCTTTGTGTCCGTGTGGCTGCATGTATCTGTGTTTGCATGTCTGTGTGTGCCTATATGTGTGTCTGTGTGTGTCCCTGTGTGTCTCTGGATCCCTGGGTGTCTGCATGTCTCTGTGTGTCCCTGTGTATGACTGGGTCCCTGTGTGTCTGTGTCTCTGAATGTCTCTGTGTGTGCCTGTATGTGTGTCTGTGCCCTTGTGTATATCTGTCTGTGTCCCTGGGTGTCTGTATGTTTCTGTGTGTCCCTGGGTGTCTCTCTGTGTCTCTGTGTATGTCCCTATCAGTCTGTGTGTCTCTCTGTGGGCCTGTGTAGTACTGTTGCTGGTAGTAGAACAGGAAGTGAACTAGAGAGAGTGAGCCCGGGAGGACATGGTCTCTCTAACTCATCAGCCGTCACGCACACTGAGCTGTCTGTCTGGAAGGCCTCTTTGTCCAGGAGCCACGGGCTCAGCATTGGCCTCGAACAACCAGAGCCAGCCAGGTGCTGCCGGAGGACCAGCGCCCTCAGGTGGAGGGGCGGGGGGTGCACCACTTCCCCTGTGGGCCCTTCCACAGGTCGCCCATTTGCCCGTGAGCCACCTGCAGTTGGGTCCCCCAAAGCCTCACACCAAGCCAAACACACTCCGAGGACTTGGGCGGAAGCCTGGGCCAGCACCAGAAGGGCAGGGAGTGCGCCAGGGAATGAAGGCAGCACCGCTGCCCGTGAGGCCACATGCCTGCTGGGACCCATGCGTGTCTGCTCTGCATACTGTGTGGGGCCACATTCTTCACCATCCGAGGGGTGAGGGCCAGGCGTCACTGAGGGGATCTGCACTCCCACTGTCCCCAGACCAGGTGCATGCTGAGGCCCTGGGAGGTCTCACCCCACAGTGCTACCCTCTGATGACTGGGAGGGAGGTGATCATGGCCCATGTTCCCCACGGGGCCACTGTTCCTGGGGTCACCAGAGCTGCCATGTACCTCCTCTCAACACGGGAAGCAGGAGGTGCTGCTGTTGACCCAACTATGTGTGTGAGCATACGCATGTACATGACTGTGCGTGTATATACAGTGTGTACGTTCAGGATTGTGTCTGGTACGTGTGTACGTATGTGTGTATGGTCAGCGAGTGTGTGTGTGCACGTGTGACTGCATGTATTCATTGTGTGAGACAAAGAGGAACAGATGTGTGCTGGGCTGCAGGGAACGAGCACACTACAGGAGCCATCAGGACGGGACAAGTCTGCAGGGCCGCCAGCGGGGCCTGACGGGAAAGGCTGGAGTCTGGCCCCAGGCTACAGGAGCAGTGAGGGGGTGCCCACCTCTGAGTCCTCTTGGGGATGGGAGCAGTGACAGTGGGCTTGTGGTCTGCCATGTGGGAAGGGCCTGGGCATCACCCTGGTGCAACCCTTCTCGGCCTGGCGTGTCTGGGGAGGGGAGGGAGGGGGACACGCAGCCTTGAGTCTCCCACCTGGTCCTGCAGCGAGGCCGTCTGGGAGAACATGGCACGTATGTGTGTGAAGACCCAGCGGCTGGATGTGGCCCGCGTGTGCCTGGGGAACATGGGCCATGCCCGTGGAGCGCGTGCCCTGAGGGAGGCTGAGCAGGAACCCGAGATGGAGGCCCGTGTGGCCATGCTGGCCGTGCAGCTGGGCATGCTGGTGAGTGGACGGGCAGACAGCCACCACCTCCAGGGGACCTGCGGGGAGGGCGCCATAGGCTTCAAGGAGACAGGCTGCTCTGGATGTCAGTCTGTCTCAGTCCCTCTGTCTCCCCCACATCTCTCTGATCTCGGCTTTTTCTCCAGACACCTGGTCTCCTTGCCCCAGCTGTGCATGGTTTCCCGGGCACCCCGTGTGCTCTCCCTGCTTCCTGCCTGACCTTGTCCTTGCCCGTCCTCATCCTTGCTGTGTGTTGGGTGTCTCTGTCGTGAGCGCGCTCTCCCGGCCCGGCCATGTGGTCTCTGACACGGGCTCCATGCTCTCCAGGAGGATGCTGAGCGGCTTTACAAGAAGTGCAGACGCTACGACCTCCTCAACAGGTTCTACCAGGCTGCGGGCCAGTGGCAGAAGGCCATAGACGTGGCCGAGCAGCACGACCGTGTGCACCTGCGCACCACCTACTACAACTACGCCAGGCACCTGGAGGCCAGCTCCGACTGCAGCCTCGCCCTCAGCTAGTGAGAGCCAGGCGGGGGAGGGAGACCTGGGGGCCCCCGGGCACGGCACGTAGCCACTGTGGCCTCGTCTCTGATGCTTCCAGTCCCCTCGTCCGCCTGGCTGGGGCTCAGCACCTTAGAGGTGCACAGTGGGATCTCTGGCCAGTGGGGGCCCCGCCGCAGGGGCCCCTGAGGGAACATATGTTGGTAGCGTTGGGAACTGCAGAGAGGCCGCCCTCCTGGGTCCTGGCCTGGCCTCGGTTTTCCATGGATTAGAGAGACCCAACTTCCCTGTAAGTGTTGATGCTAGCACACTGGTGGGGCCCGCAGCCCATGAGGACAGGCATGTTGTCAGCATGCTCACGTGCCACTAACCCTGCCACCAAGCAGACCCCCAACATGCGGCCCCCACAGCCATGTGTGAGCACCACGGGGGCCCTACCACCCAGACCACATCCCTGACCCCCACCCACCACAGCCCAGATGTGCCCTACAGCACGGCCTCTCAATGCACCCTGCTGTCGGGGACTGAGGCCTCTCTCTGCCCCCCTCCCAGCTACGAGAAGTCAGACACCCACCGCTTCGAGGCTCCCCGGATGCTGGCAGATGACCTGCAGTCCCTGGAACTGTACATCAACAAAATGCAGGACAGGTGGGCACAAGGGCGGTGTGGCCATGGAGGGGCCGTGTGGCCAGGGAGGGCCTGTGTGGCCAGGGAGGGGCCGTGTGGCCATGGAGGGCCGGTGTGGCCAGGGAGGGAGGGGCCGTGTGGCCAGGGAGGGGCAGGTCAGCAGGAGGCGGGACGGGTGGGTGGGGCAAGTGCAGGTTCCAGGTGGGAAGTGGGCTCACTCCCGGGCCCCCGCAGGACCCTGTGGCGGTGGTGGGCGCAGTACCTGGAGAGCCAGGGAGAGATGGAGGTGGCCCTGCACTACTACGAGCTGGCGCAGGACCACTTCTCCCTAGTGCGCATCCACTGCTTCCAGGGCAACGCCCAAAAGGTGAGTGCCCCCCGGGGGCCCCGCGGGATGCACAGGGAGCGACTTGTGCAGGTCTCCACAGGCGGGGAGCGTGGAGGGGGCAGCCTGGGCGGGTGTCCGCAGGGGCGCCTGGCCAAGCGGGGTGATCTGTATGGGTCTCCACAGGCGGGGCGTACAGGGAACGGCCTGGGCGGGTGTCCGCAGGTGGGGCACGTGGGGGGCGATCTGTGTGGGTTGCCACAGGCATGGAGCGTGGTGGGGGGCAGCCTGGGCGCGCGGGGCAGCCTGTGCGGGTCTCCGCAGGCAGCCGAGATCGCCAACGAGACGGGAAACTGGGCAGCGGCCTACCACCTGGCGAGGCAGTGTGAGAGTCAGGAGGAAGTGCTGCAGGCCGTGCACTTCTACACGCGTGCGCAGGCCTTCAACAACGCCATCCGTCTCTGCAAGGTGGGTCACCCTCGGGACATCCCATGGTGGGGCAGGCTTTGGGGTACACAGGAAAGGCTGAAGCTGTAGCCCCCCACTACCTCCCCAAAAGTCCTCCCTCCACTCAGCCCCCCATCCCTGTCCCTCTTGCCAACCCTGCCCCTCTTCAGTGTCTTGCCCCCACTCCCCAGGCCCAGTCCCTGCTGATACTATGGTAACAGGCTCAGCCCTTAGAACAAGCCCATGACACTGTGTGTGGGGTCCTCAGCAGCAGCAGAGTGGTAGCTTACCCCACAGAGAGAGTCCTGCACAGCCCTGCAGGCCCAGGTCCCATCAGGTGTCCGCAGGGCCACGCTCCCAGGTTCCAGGGAGGTCCCTGCTTCTTCCAGCTCTTGGTGGCCCTGGCGTTCCTTGGCTTGTGGCCGCATCTCTCTGACCTCTGCTCCCAGCACCACCCGGCTGTCTTTCCTCTGTGTCCTCATCCCCTCTGTGACTCTTCTTTTTCACAAGGATTAGCACCCACCCTTGTTCATGATGATCAGACATTAAGCTAACTGAAGCTTCTTTCCAAACAAGGTCAGGTTCACAGGTGCAGGGTTAGGGCTTCAACAGTCACAACCAGAAAATCCGAAACCCACAGCCATCATGTCAAATCCAACACAGCGCCCCTAGAGGACAGAGTGGAACTGCCCACAGGGTCTCCAAGGCTGTCAGTCTTCACAGAAGCAAAGCCCAAACTACACCCACTGCTGTGGAG